AGGAATGCATAGCCATGCTCAAGACCAGAAGTCAACAAAGAACTTGTAATCAAGCATGCAATACAACACAGCTGTCAGAGATACTGTCCATGCATTCCACAAAAGAATCACACGGGTAAAGGAGATGCTAGTTAATTCAGCTCACTTATAACTCGTAAAATACCCAAGAAAAAACATATTTTAGAGCTTATACTACACAAAGTAGGTTTAAATTTTAGGACAAGTAATTCAGAGAGTTTGTGGCCATATTCAATAAAGAAGTTGTTTTCATGATTCACATGAAACAAAAAGTCAGGTGTTGATGCATTCAGTATACAAGCCTTTTCCGTTGGAACACTTCAGTTAGGGAGGAGTAGAAATGGCAGAACATCAACTGTAAACTTCAGCTGAGATTTTAAACACCTCAGTCTACTATGATGACCTCCAAACCAGTATTAATTGAAAGACAATTGCAGACCCAATCCGATGACAGAAGATTGAATTAGCACAAATGCTTCAAGGGGTAATGGTGATGATCAGAAAAGTTTTCATATAATGTGTTGGTAGGTGATTAGATTCTATTGCTCATTAAAGAGCTTAAGAAAAGGTATTTATTCAGCGCAAAATGTACAGAATACATGAAATCAATCCATCAAAAATCAACAAAACTTGATGGTGAATCTTAAACCTATCTATCCATCTACAGCCCAATTATAGATATATTCCAAACTTCAAACAAAATTATACGAGTCTGCCATGCAATGTGACTGCATGGCTAGGCGAACAAACACAGATGGACATGCATGCAATGCACATGCACACATACTCAATAGATCTGGAAGAATTTCAAAAACATAATCTCTTCAAGACTGGAAATAGATCTAACAGCGTGGTAGCAATAGTTCAGCCAAAAAATATCATAATCTGGGAGAATTATAACTGCAGCACATATTACATACAGTACCTGAATGGCATCCTTTGAGAAATAGCGACCATCACCAGAAACAACAAGTGTGGCACCTGCTTATAATGGTAAACAAAAGGGATCAAAATATCAGACATAAATTAAGTTGTCCAACAGGACACGCACGACAGTTTTGCATTCAACAGACACTGTGGTGATCAAATGTCTCTGACTGTGGGAATGCATGCAAAAGAACAACAATGGATAGTTCAGTAACCTTGAAAATCTTTTAATTAAAAATGGAACTTCATATTTCATGCACGGACATGTAATTGGTTAAAAATTAGAGCGTTTAGCATGACTAATAAAAACTTTGACTTTGAATCATGATTCAAAATTTAAGTTATTTATCACAGATCACTTATGACAAAAATGAGTTAAGTTAGAAGCTTTATTAGCAAGAAATGACTCAGAGCAACTTTCCTGAAGAAGGAAGGCATTATATGTTATAATCAATAAGTTACAAATTTTCACATTGAGTCAAAGGTTATTTCTAGCCAAACATATTTATTACTTTCCTTTGAGTCAAAAATTAAAAAATTACTTAAATCAATCTGGAAAATTGATTGATACCAAGACAGAACCTTATTGAATTTGTGAAAGTTTTAAACTACATCTCTTGATCATTATCACATCACATCGTCAACTGCGATATGGTTATCAAAAGTACAAACTTTTTTGAGAAGTAATGGAACAATTTACACCCCTGCTGAAAAATGAAATACAAGTCCAAAAGGAAGTAAGCTCAAGCAACACCAGGCCATTTTGTTCTACCAATTAAAAATTGTTTTATATATCCAAAATTTAAGGAGCACGAGTTTTTAATGACAGATCAAGTTTCAAAATGCAAGCCATTCTTTCGCATAGCTGACAGATCAAACTTCACCTCTAACTTTTTGTGGAGTAAGTGCATTGAAGGTTGATTGGACAAAATTCTCCAGATAATTAGGTTGCTTGAACACCTTCACCTGAAAAAAGAACCAAACAAAAAAGGAAAAAAGCAATTGTAACAGCTGCAACAAACGCGCAGGAGAAATTCAACAAAAAGATAATTCATTCGAATAGGAACAGACAAATAAAAAATGAAATCAACAGACAGAGATCGGATTCACAAATATTCAATTCAAATACAATAAATATAATCTAAAAAATCAAACAAACGACTCGAAAATGAGATGCGACAGATCTGATTGCAAATTGAGAATAACAGAAAAGGAATAAGAAAAAAGAACCGAACCTTCTTGCGAAGGCCAGAAGTTCCAGGTTTCTGGCCATCGAAAGGAGCAGTCTCCACTCGTGAAACATTGAACAGCACCATTTTTTTCTTTTTTTGGTACAGAGAGAATAAGAAGAAGAAAGCGAAACGTAAACAGAAAGCGTCAGCACTACAAAATTCTGGTGCTTAAAAGAAGAGTTGAGAGAAAGGAAGGATCTATGACGAGGATTATTCGATGTGGATGGATAATTTAAACCCCCCACGTAACTTTCCAAGTTTGAAACCATGTCCTTTATGATTCAGCTGGCTCGATCGTTAACAGTGGAGCGGTGTCTGGTAACCTTTCTGAGAGTGACAGTGAAGCAAAAGACCGAGTCCCTCGGGTTTTTTTTTTTTTCTTTATTTTTTTGAAAACCATAATTTTAGTCTTGAAACTATATACATGTTGTCGATTTAGTTTCAGAACAATAGGGGCAAAGCCGCGAACTGCCAAAGTATCTTCGACCTTAAAAAAAAATGCTAGGATAATATAAGCATTAATTAAAAAAAAGATTCAAGACAAATATCGATCTTTAATAAATTTAATTAATATAATTAAAAAACTATTACCATAAAAAAATTCAATAAAAAAACTGAATTTATTAAAACTATCATGTTAAATCTACGATGAAGTCATGATACTTCATTAATTTTATTAAAAATAAATTAAATAAAATTATAAAACAATTTTAAAAAATAAGCAAAAAAATATGTTAACTATTAACTTATTAATTTCATGATTTTAGATATAAAATTAAAATAATTTCATATAAAAATTATTTTTTTAGATAATAAACAATAAAAAAACACATTCATATACTGCAAGAAAAGAATAAATAAATATATATATATATATATTAAAGTTCAATCATTAATCCAACAACTACAAACAGGATATTATTAGAAAAAACACATAATTATTTTGTTATACTTAAAAATAATAATATCTAATAAATATTATATTTTTAAAACATAATATAATAAAATTATATTATTTCACTAATTTTTTTAATGTGCTAACTGCTAATTGACGTTAGCATAGGCCCAGATCCAAATTTAAAGATGGTCTGAATTGAATCGACTAGGAGCTTGGCCAAAACCATGCGAACATACATCACAGCTGCCCAAAAACTGCAAGAGGGAATCTCGAGGCTCCTTTATCGTAGCCTCTGGCACGACTCACGAGCGAGGAGCAGGGACCCGATCTCGCAATGAAATTTCAAAACCTGCCATAGCCCGCCTAATTTTTCAATTGTCCAATTATTCAAAAGAAGAAAAAATGTATAACGCATTCAATCTTGCCATCCAAAAGGTATCATGCTGGTCATATGCTGCACCAAACATGAAGGCTGTAAAGGTTCCACGCAATTTATTTCTTTAGGAAAAAAAAATATAAAAGCCCACTCTAATGGCAAACATTCAAGATATTTTCACCAGCCACTTCCAAATGTTGCTTCTTAAAAACACACAAAAAAAGATGCCGCTTAATTTCGAAGCCTTGATAAATTAAAGAGGCAACATGAACAGTACACCCCAAAAAAAAAAAGCAAAAGCAAGCGTGAAAAAATATTGCCAAAGCAAGTTCTTCTGAATAGCATTTGAAATTATGGTAAAGATTATTTTTATTTTTTAATTTATTTTTATTATTAACACATCAAATAATCTAAAAATACTTTCAATTAAAATTAATTAATTAAATTAAATTTTTCTAAGACATAAATGGATGGCAAAAACCCACACAATCCTGGTTTGTTTTTTTTGGTGGAGAGACAAAAGGATAACGATAATAAAGGGGACAAATACACAGCGGCTGATCAAATTTACAAGGCAAATTAAATTAAAATTACAGGAGTCACGTAATCAACCCTCCACCTCCAAGCTCCACATTACAATAACGCTAACCCCCATTTTAATTTAAACTCAGAAACCCAAGAGAAAAAAAAAATAGAGCTAAACTAAAGCTACCACATCAATTAGTAGTTCTCTTGTTTACCTAAAAAAAACACGGAAAGATTGAAGAACTAATTCCTATCTCTACTTCTCACTCACTCACTCTCTCCCTCTCTCTCTCTACTCCTTTAAATCCACTCAACCAGCGACGGGGGCCACAGCCGGCTTCACCTTAGGCGGCCTTCCCCTCCCTCTAGGCACACCGCTGGGCGGAGCAGCACCAGAACTCACAGCCGGAACCGGCGCATTAGCGTTCTTTGGTGGACGACCACGTGGCCTCCCACTTCCAGGACTTGCCGTCTTCTTTTTAGGGGAAACCACAGGTGCGAACGGATCCCTTGGTTTGGGAGGGCGGCCACGTGGCCTGGGAGGCCCAGCAACACTTCCAGGTGGGGTTGGAAGCTTAGGCTTGGGAGGGCGACCTCTACCTCTCTTTGGAGGAGCGTTGGGGTCAGGCTTCATGTAGTTGTTCTTGACCAAGACCAGCTGACCACTCTGCTTCAACTTGTTTAAATGGTGAGAAAGTAGTGTTCCGTGTGCAGGAGGCAGATCGGGGTGTGTTGACTCAATTTGTTTCGAAATTGATGTCTTGCTTGACCCTTCTTTCTCGTTCAGCGCCTCGACAGCTGCCATAATCATCTAAAACCAGAAAGAAGAAAAAACACTACATTATAAAGTTGCCAGAAGTTAAAAACAAAGAAATAACATCGATTGTCTTGCAATGAAATGGTCACCTCAGGATACTGAGGGATAGTGGAGGATTGTTGCTGTGACTGTTGTTGGGGCGGAGCTAGTGCTAGAGGAGGAGGGGGAGCTAGTGCTGGAGGAGGAGGCTGGAGGCTATTAGAATCTTCAGTGGTGGTAGCCATGGAAATTGACATTTGTTTTCCTCTGGAGAAGGAAATGGAAGGAACTGTGTGTGTTTGGTGTGGAGAGGGGAGAGTGGTAGAGGGGAGGATTTAAAAGGGAGGGGTTTTGTTGAGGATGGCATGGGGAGGGAAGCATAGGGATGGAAGACTAGGCGCGAGAAAGGATCTGACGGTTGGGGATTGTATTTTGGGGTTTTGATCGGTCGGATATGGTTTGGTTAAAAGGGAAGGACTCGGATTGATGACCTGGTCATATTTGTCAAATTTGAATTTACGGTGTTGTCCCTGTTTTTTGAATTTTTGTGTTTGTACAACATTGAGGTGTTGGTTGCCTGTGATGTATAACTTGGGAGTTAAGGACGTGTTGCATTTTTATTGGTAATAAAAAATAGAGATGGAAGTCGCTGGGAAAGTTGTTAACACAAATGGGGTGTTTAAGATAGAAATTAATTTTTAAGGTGTTTTTTATTATTAAATTAATATTTTTTATTTTTAAAATTTTATTATTGATATTACTATCTCGAAATAATATAAAAATATCAAAAAAAATATAACAAAAGCAAAAATCAAATTTAATCAAACGGCCAAACACTCCCAAAATGAAGCCCACGTGATAATAAGGTCTCTGGTTATTGGTATTCTAGGATCCAGATCCGGCATCCAAGTGCGGGAAGTGGGGGCCGCTTTAGTGCCGGAGATAGGTGATTCTCTGCATCTGGGACTTGCGTGAGAATCTGCAAGAGATCGAATAGTGGTTGAACTTGGTAATGACTTTGCACAAATGACCGAGCTTCCTACACCATCAAGGATCAGCGAGCTCTCACTGCTCGAATTCAAAGATCATTGTTGATCGCACCATTAAGAGTTTATTTAGTATTGTGTAATGATTTTTTAAAAGTATTTTTATTCTTGAAAATATATTAAAAAAATATTTTTTATTTAAAAAAAAAATGTTATATTAACACAAAATATAAAAAAATAAATCAATGAAAAAAATAAATTGATAATTTAATGTTGATATTATATTTATAAATATATTTATTGTTTTTTATATAATTAGAATGTTCAGATTTTTGGTCATGGTAAGCTTCACATGGAGATTCGGCTTTCCATAGTGTTCGAAACTAGGTCGGGCGAATGAGCTGGACTTCAAGTTTGAACTTGAATGTTTCTTAAAAAATAATTTTTTTTCTTTAAAATACAATGGATTGCTATGGTGTTTTTCCATATAATTTTTCTATTTTATTTTTTATTTTTCTAAATTATATTTGTCAATTTTTTTTTTATATTGAGTAGGTTGAGAATTTTATTTTGTAATTTTGTTTTTAAACATTGTTGATTGCTATAGTGTTTCTTTAAATGTTTTTTTTATAATTTTCTCTAAAATTATCCTATTCAGTTTTATTTTTTAATATTAAACTAGTTAAAAAATACTATTACAATATATGAGAAAAATATTGTAACTTTCCTCGCAAAGTACTGGTGATTGCTATAATTTTGTTGGCACATGGTTTTTTATGTCTTGTTATATTTTTTTCTAAAATTATCTTTGTTAATTTTATTTTTTAAATATTGAGCTGGTTAATAATTACAATTATAATTAAATTCAATTTTTTCCTTACAAGACACCATGGATTGATACAGTTTTTCCTGAAATAGTTTTTTTCAAGTTTGTTTTGTATTTTTTTATAATATTTTTTTTAAAATTATCTTTGTCGATTTTAGTTTTTTTTAGTATCGAATTGGCTAGAATTTAACTTTGTAATAAAACTTAATCATATGAGGAAAATACTATACCTTTCTTCATAAAACATTATGGATTGCTACAGTGTCTCTCCACATGTTTTTTGTTCTTATGATTTTTTTAGAAATATCTTTGTTAATTTTTTTTTTTTAATATTAAGCTGGTTGAGAATTACAATTACAAGTCATTACAAATAAGGCTAAATCATGTGGGGAAGCACTGTAGCTTTTATCACCGAAACACTATGAATTGCTACAGTGTTTCCAATATTGTTTTCTTTTTAATGTTGTTTTTTGTTATTTCTTTTCTAAACTTATATCTACTGATTTTTTTTAATATTAAATTTTTCAATAATCTAACTTTGTAATTTTTTTCTTTAAAACATTGTGAATTGTTGTGGTGTTTTCCCATATGATTTTTTTCAAAATTATCTTTGTCGATTTTTTTTTAATATTAAGCTGGTTAAGAATTGTAATTACAATAAAACTAAATCATATTGAAAAAACGTTGTTGTTTTTCTCACATAACAATGTAGATTGTCACAATATTTCTCAAAATAATTTTTTATTTTATTTTATTAGGGAAAACACTATAGTTTTCCTCACAAAACATTGTCAAATGCTATAATATTTTTTCTCATGGGTTTTTTCATTCTAAGATTATTTTTGTTGATTTTTTTATTAATATTAAGTTGGTAGAAAATGTAGCTTTGTGATTTATTTTTTTTTGCTTTTTATTAACAGAAAAGTTAAATTATATGACAAAAACATTGTATCTTTCCTCATAAAAACTATGGATTG